CAGGGAAGTGACTAAACCCCAGCATTTGCCTTCTTCTGCTTATAGATAACATCAGCATTTCTCTAAGTCAAGATAAATTAGGAAATTGAAAGATATAAGCCTGTAGACAAAACCCCAGAAGCCCCCCATCAAGAATAATTACACTTTTTGATGTCAGTGACTCACTCTTCCTATCTGTATAAACTAAACTCAAACCTGTAGTTGTTGGAACAGTTCTCACAGTAAAACCTGTCTGACTGCTTCCTGGGTTCAGATTTTCACTTTGAATATCTACTCAACTCTGTCTATTATTGAGACTTTTATTTTAGTCAACTCAGTCTGTCTTCCCTGATTTCCTGTGTGATATCAGAAAACTCTCCATCCCTCTCTGGGCCTTTTGTAAAACCAAGATCCCTGGGACTGACAGACTGTGCCGTCCCGGGTGGGGCCTGCCCATGCTGTCCATTCCTCTCGCCTGGCCTGGAATCCTCAACCCGTCTTCCTGTTCCACGCTGCTGCTCACCTCTTTTTAGGTTTTCCAGATCCTTCTCAATGTTTGAGGTTTGAGATGTCAAGGGATTTTGACTTTTGCCCCTAACTAAGATAGTTTGTCATAAGACGGTAGACTCTATGGTCTTAGTTTTCTAGGTCAGAGATGCTCCCGGGCTGGTGCCCACACATCCTTTGCAGGAAACCTTCCGGGACAGGCTGGCATACTTTGCCCCTAACCCTGAAAGTGAATGAAACACTAGAATTAATATGGAGATGTATTTTCTTGTTTGAGTATTCTCCAAGAGGAAGATAGATGGTAATCATCCTAAGTGCAGAGATAAGTATGGTGACTGGAGGAGAGAAACTGGATTCCAGGGATCCGAGGCAGGTATGTGGGTGTAGGGGTGGTTGTGGAACATTAAATGGGGACACAGAGACAAGAACAGAGAACCATGATGTGCTGACTCCAAGTGCTGGGGACTCCAGAGCCACCGTCATGTATGCAGAGGGTGGTGGTGCCCCAGAGAGGTTGGGCTTGCTCTGGCCTGGCCCCGGGGACAGATCTGGCACCCACGGAGGAGGAGCAAGGAGGCAGGGCAGGTAGAAAGAGCATTTCCCAACAGCCCTCTGCATTATTGACTTCTGCCCTGAGAAGAGGGTCCTTTTCTCAAATGCATCACCTGCTCCCTGCCTGTAGATTGGACACTGAGATTTGACCTTTTGGGCTGGTAACTCAAAGTCATATGCATTTTGCCAACGTTGCTAGGCCCCCCTGAGGCAGGGAGAATTGTTTGCCCAAACAGGACCATCTATCAGAGACTAAGAGTCCCCGCAGTATTTTTTGAGTTCTTATGAATACTTGAATAATGTCCCTCCCTGCCGTCAGACTGCATTACTCTGTTGCATACGTCTTGCTGCGTCTAACCTGTTGTATGCAGGAAGTCGTAGTCCCAGCATTATGAGAACTAAGACAAAATAAATGGGTCTGCGTGCTCGCTCCTGTAAACAAAGTCCATGAACCTCAGTGGGTGTTTGCTTCAGATGCGCCTCTGGGCTCACAGAGCCCTGTTCGCCCTTCACCCCTGCCACCTGGGCTGCCATCACCAAGGCGTTACCTGTCAGGTCCCCATGGGGGGGGGGGCCAGTGTTCCTCATGTCTGTACTTGCAGGTGTCTGGCACACAGTGATAACTCAATAAATGCTGTTGAATGGCCGAGTGGCCTTGTGGTGGCATCTGGGCTGCTCTCAGCCACCCCCCACCTTCCCCCTAGTCCCCCAGCCTCCACCTTCCATCCTCCCTTTTCCCCCATTCTGCTGTTTTCCACCTTCCTGGTGTGGCAGCCCTGCCATGAGCGAGCCCCACGGCCATGGAGGACACTGTCCAGTTGCTACAACCCTTCTTCTATGGGGGGAGGTGGGGCCCTTCCTCTTGAGTAAGCTGCCTGGGTTGCTTCTGGGGTGAGGCTGGCATCCCCCCAAATGGGAGGAGAGCACAGTGGTGACTGGAATTGCCTGCACAAGTGCCAGGATAGGAGTAGGGGGTTGTGCCGCCATCTATATGCTCTCACGCTCTTCCTTTTGTAGATAACTAGGCGCGGCTGAGCTTAAGTCTCTGCATCTGGGGCACATCTTGGTCTCACCCGGTTTAGAGCTCCCCAGAGAGAAACGACGCATTTCTTCCATTAGTCTGGGAGTTCCCTGACTTAGCTTCTTGTTTCTGTGGCAGACTGGGCCCCCCTCTGGGAGTGTGGGCTTTCTCTACCCCTGCAGGCATGTGCTCCACAGGGCTGGAGGAAGCTGGTGGAAGGGCTGAGTGAGGGGCTCACTTTTTCTCCTATCCCTCCCTGCAACTGCTGATTGCAGGCGCCTGTGCATGGAGGCCAAGCTGGGGGCTGCCCCAGGCTCCTGAGTTCTGGCCTCCCAGCTGGACCAGGTGAGTGCCTGGGCTCTCTTGGTCCCTGGAGGCTTCGTTCCTGGATCTGCACAGTGGGGGAGCAGAGGTTGGTCCTATAATGTTTCCCCCTTTTCCTCTGTACCAGGTGGAAGGGCTGGAGGGGACACGTCGGAGGCTGTCCAGCTATCTCCCAGTGCCCAGCTGGTCTCAGAACGTGGGTACTGTGATCCCTGGTCCCTGGCAGAGATAAGGATGGGGGTGAAACCAGTTATGCCACTTCCTCCTGCCTGCCCAGTGGACCAGGGTGCTGAGGGAAGGGCTTAGGGGTTCAGTGACTGTTCTGCACAGGAGCATCTCTGAGTCTGTGGGGACGCCTCTCTGTCCAGTCTCCTGTGATGGGCTGAGCTGAAGCCACAGCTTCTGATTCAGGGACCTTAACCCCCAGGGAGGGGAGCTAATGAGCATCTCTCCTGCCACCTCCCCAAATTCCCTTCTCTGTCCCCTTGTCCTTCCTCTTCTTTTCCTTCTCCTTCTGTCTTAGGTCCAGAGTAGGGAAGGGATTTGAGCCAGAGGGAGGCCAGGGGAAGAAGCGGCAGAGCAGTTCTTACCCAGGGCTCCAGGGCCGCCCTGTCGCAGGTGGCAGGCTCAGCTTCACTCCCTGCCTCCTTTGCCCTCCTGAGCTCCCTCTGAGAATTGGACTAGGTGTCAGGGTTGGGGAAGTGACTGTCTGCAGACTTTGTCTCTGCTGTTTAGAGAACAGGGCTTGAAGGAGGCTCCTGAAATGGCCACCAAAGACAGAGCCACAGGCTCCAGCTGCTCCCCCAACCCCCACTATTTCCCAGAACCCAGAGAGATGGTTGCAGCTAGATTCTAGCAGGGGCTGGGGGAGCAGACTGGACAGGCTCAGGGTGCCAGGGGAGGCACTCATGGGGGGAGCGATAGGGGTGGGGTCAGGCTTCCAAGGCCCAGGCCAGGGTGGAGCTGGGGTAGAGGGGGGAAAGCTGCAGCTTTCCGAAATATCCTACATCCTAGTCTTTTCTCCCATCCCTGAGCATCCCTGGAAGTGGGGAGGCCCCATCTCCTGAGGAAAGGGGACTGGGTGGTGAGGGGAAGAGGTGAGAGATAGGGGTGTAGGTGGGATTTCCCAGGATTTTCTGAGATGAGTCAGTAGAGGCTTCTGGGGGTTGGAGTTGGTAGGGGGGTCGCAGAAGTTGAGAGGCAGGGCCTGAGGCACAGGGGAGGAGAGGGGCTCCTCTTCACAGTTCCTGGAATGGCTGCCCACTGCCCAGACTCTGCCCCCAGCTGGGTGGAACCCTGGCTCAGTGTTTCTTGTCTTCACTTGTGACTGGGGCTCCCACAAACTTCCTGAAAGCAGCCGTTTCCTCCACAGAGGCTGTGAGGGAGGATCGGTATGGGGGAGGGGCAGGGGCAGGACCCTCTAAGGTCCTTTGGGTATCGGTTTGCCTCCCTGGCCTCAGCCACCTTGGTCTGTCCCCTCCGCCCCTGCAGGAATTCTTTTTAACTTTGAGCACGTCTAGTTTCTCTGCCCGCTCAGACTCCCCCCTGCTCAGACTCCCGCTGAGAGAAAAGACACTGCCAAGAGGGTAGCAGCTCTCTCTCCCTTCCTATGCATCTCCAGCAGGCCCCGGCCTGCCAGCTGATGCCCGGACACTGCTCTCCTCCCCTCCCCTGACTGCCCTCCCTCCAGGCCCCCTCCCACCCCCTCCTTCCAGCTCTATCATCATTAATTCATAGGCCCTGGCATTCCTGGCAGACAGCCTCTGGTGTCAGGCGCTGGGAGGTGGGAGGGAGAGGAAGTGGGTGTCCAGCCCAGTGGGAGCCCCCACCAGCAAAAGGGTGGGGGTGAAGAGCCCAGCACCTTCCCATTCCTCATTGCCAGGCTACAGTGACCAGTAAGAAAGAGGTCAGGGCAATAGTGGAAGAGACTTTATTGAGTTGTCCAGTGATGGTCTGGGGATGAACACCGCAAGCCCCCCTCCCCAGGCTGCCAGCTCTCCAGGGGCCCAGCCCCAGCTCAGGCATAGAGGAGACCACTTTTTCCCTAAGGGCAAAGGTTCAGGAACACTTTCAATGTATAAGGGAAAGAGCAGAGGGAAGGGGGGGGGCTCTGGAAAGGAAGCAGGGCACTCTAAGCTGGGGATCCCTAAAAGAGAGCCGTGGGAGAGGAGCCTGGGGCCAAGAGGCAGTAGAAGTGAAGGCGAAGCCTCTCAGTAGAGGAGGAGAGAGAAGAGGGAGCCCACAGGGCCCTGCTCCACCTATCTACACCCCGACTTTCTGACCTCACCTCCAGCTGAGCGCCCCTTTCGCTCTCCCCTCTCTGCATCTCCCTTCTCTGTATCCCAGGTCCTGCTACCATGTGGACTTTCCAAGTGCTTTTACAGCTTCCTTCCTTTGTATGCCACCGTCCTCATTCTTGAAGACTTGTTTTAAATTATCCAAAAGTAGGCACAAAAACTCAAGGCATCAGAGATGCTTCTTGTTGGGAGAGAGATGAGGCAAAAAGGGAGACAAGGAGGGAGGGGTGAGTGGAATTGGGGGTATGGTGTGGTGGTAGAGGATGCAGAAGGGATCAGAGGAGAAGAGAGGGCTCAGGCGGAGGGTGGGGCTGAGGCCCTCAGACCATAGTGCTCAGGGTAGAGGAGTCCTCGCAGCGCACTTGCCTCATGGGGGCATGTTTGAGGGGGCACCGGGTTTCATCCCGGTTCTGCCACATGTAGTAGGCCAGATAAGTGCCCACGAGCACCAGCCAGCCCCCCATGATGACCAGCAAGGCCACGTCGGTGCTCCTCCGGACCCCACCCCGCCCCACCCCACACAACTCTTCCTCCCCTGCCAGTGTCAGAAACTCCTGCCCCACCAGGTCTGGTCGGGCTCCCGGGCCACACACGATGCCGGTTCCTGTGCCCGGTGCCAGCCTCACCTGCCTCAGCACCTCCTGGAGGGCACAGTCGCAACTCCATGGGTTGGCAGACAGGTTCACTTGGATCTGCAGCCCCACGAAGGCCTCCAGGGGCACCGAGGCCAGCTGGTTGGCAGAGAGGTCAAGGTGGCGCAGCGTGCCTGCCAGACCCTGGAATGCAGCCCCTGAGAGGTGGGCAAGGATGTTATGAGACAGATCCAGCTCCTCCAGGACAGGCAGGTGCTCGAAGGCACCAGCTGGCACTGATGCCAGCCGGTTGGCATCCAGGTAGAGCTTGCGGGTGTCGTTGGGGATGCCAGTGGGCACGGCGCTCAAACCTGCCTGGCTGCAGCGGAATGTCCGGTCACCAGCCTCCTCTGCCACGTAGCAGCCCCGGGGAGGTGCCCGGAGGCTAGGCAGGGTGTTCCCTGTGCCTATCACCAGCAGGAAGAACAGAAGCTGCCCAGCGAGTGGGAGCATGGTGGCAGACCAGCATAATCCTGAGTGGAGTAGGCTCTGGGGAAGAAGCAGCCCCATAAAGGAAGAGTGAGTCAGGAGAGTCTGTTCCCCACAGCCAGCTCTCTCTGCAGGGGACCCCTGCACTAACTCTTTGAGCTGGGGCCCCTCCTCTGTGTTCTTTCTTAGGCCTGGGTGACTTTTTTGCTTTTTCTTTGGGATCTAGGGCCACTCATTTGGGCCCTTTGGGTAAAATGTCCCTGATTCCGAGACTCTGCTGGGGTGTCTTTGATTCTGGGGGGCTGTCCAAGGCCCTGATGGTCATTCTATAACTGGGGGCTTCTAGGTTTCTGCTTTCATGGTGGAGGGATTGCCCTCATTGGAATAAATTCTTATTTTGCCAACCTTCCTGTGAGGTTGCCTGGTGGGCCAGGTCAGCACAAAAGGGCCTGGGTAAGTGCTATTGTGACTGAGGCAAGGAAAATAGATCCACCACAGGGCCTCCCCGGTGGCGCAGTGGTTGAGTGCTGGGCTGTGAAGGTGCCCGCAGCCTCTGCAGCGACAGTTCCATCCCCAGCCACTGGCGTGACACACCTCTCCTGCCGCGCCCACTGCTCCCCTCAGCAGTTTACTTCTTCAATCTACCTGCTCTGCTCCCCGCTCTGGCTCTGGTGAATTCTCTCACCCTCCCGTGCTTCTGACTGTACCCAGTGCTTGTATAAATAAATAAATAAATCTTTAAAAAAGAAAATAGATTCACCACAGAACCACAGGGCATCCAGCGAATCTCGTGACTAGGTGAGGTAGACCTCAGGCCCTCCCTATGGGCCCCTCCACCCCTGTTCTAGGCCCCTCCTCTGCCTGTCCCAGCTGTGTCCTCTCCACCCCTCCCTTCCTCCCTCATCTTCTCCCTCCTCCTCCCAGCCTCTCACCCTGTTGGTGGGAGAGCCTTCTCCTGTGCTTCCCTCTCCCCGGAAGTAGCCTCCCTGCTGCTGGGCTCTGGAGACCTGCTTTCCCCTGTAGAAGTCCTGCTTGCTCACAGCCACTAGAAGTTGGGGGCTGGGGCCCAAGAGTGTTGGGTTTCCTGGCATGTGACTCCAGGCCCCAGGTGTCGGATACCTGAGCCATGGCCTGGCCAGGTGATTCCCAGAGAGGGCAGATCCTGCACCCTGATGAACTCTGCAGTGAGGAGACCGTTCCCTGCCTAGAGACCCCCTCCCCAAGGTCTTCTCCCTCCTCCTCCCAGCTCTTGACATTACCACCTTCTATCCCTCTTTTCCTAGCCTGGGCTGAGACTCTGCCTTGAAGAACCTTGGTCCCTTGCCTGGAGCCTGGTCCAGCAGCAGGATGCTGCTCGGCAGGTTTGGGGGGCAGAAGTGGGCTGGGTCCAGCCTCACATCCATGGCCTCCAGCATCCTGTCCCCCCCCCCCCCCGCTCTCTTGCTCTGCTTTCTCCCTGCCTATGGCAGCTTCTTCCACCCATCATGTCTAGCCCCTACCACCCCCTACCACCACCACTCTTTGTAATGTTCCCCGGAGAGTGGAAGGGAATAGGAGAGTGGAGTGTCACAGACCCATGCACAGAGGAGGCTGTGGGCATATTTGTGGGGAGTGTTCTGAGAAGGAAAACCTTGCTGGATTTCATGAGAGACTGTGGGTGACCCGGATGAGACACGTAACGGCTATGCCCAGTGCAAAATGAAGGTAGGGGCCTCTTGTGTAAAAATGGTAAGAATTTCAGGGCAGTGACTACAGAGGGTGACTGCATGCAGGAGCTGTCTGGACACAGGGTGTGAAGCCCTGTGACTGCACAGTGCACACCCTCCTGACAAGAACCCGTGGGTGATCTTTGACCAAGAGGTCCCAGAAGAGCCAGGAGGCCAGAATCAGATGCCAGGACACCAGGTGATAGATATCATCTCACCGGTTGTACTCCCCACTGACTCATTCCCGTGATATCTTCAGGGGCGTTTCTCAGACTCACATTTGTCCAGGAAGTCAGATAGGACACGGTCTACATGAGGGCAGGGGAAACAAAAATGTTGCCTTGGGGCGACTTGTTCATACGGCCAGGTGCTCGCTTGGCCACTGATAGGAGCATTGCAAACCTCCTCCTCACACCTCACACCACACAGGGTTAGTTACTGTGCAAGAGCTGAGCCTGCCTGCTGATGGAGAGTAATCCTTTCTCAGACTTCCAGGCCACCGGGGAAGAGGGGGCTGGGGTGGCCAACCCAGCAGCCATCTGCCAAACAGGCAGGTGTGCACATAGGAGCGTCTGCCAGGAACTGTGGACGTGGGTGCCTGAGGAAGGCCAAGAACCCTTTCCAGCAGAGAAAGGAGAATGGAGAGGAAGGAGGAAGCACACTTAGGACATGCTCAGTGCAGCTGGGGGTTGGCAAAGCCAGAGCAGAAGTTCTCTGCCATTCACTCCCTCACTCCCTCATTCATCCAGCAAGGGTTTCTGCAAGCCCCATGTTTCAAGTGCTGTGCTCGTAAAGGGGATAAGACCCTGTTCTCCAGGGTCTGGGTCTTTGGCAGTGGTTAGAATCACTTGGCGGGAAGCTCTGAAACATTAGCTGTGCCTGGGCTTCGCCTGGGCGGATTAAACTAAGGTCTCTGCGAACGGGTGCGGGCTCTGGTAGATCTCAGAAGCTGCCTGAGTAGTTGTAAGATACAGTCTGACTTGAGAGCTGTGGGTCCAGAGGATGAGTTGGACATGTCAACGCCTATCTCCACGAGGCATTGATGTGATGTTGCCCCAGGTGACAGGTGGTTGAGGGGCTCTGGACAGAGACAGAGTAAGCGCCTCTGCAGAATGACTGGCTGTCTAGTTGGTACTGTGGCGGGAGGCAAATTTCCCCTGCTCCCCTCATAAGGCTTTCAGCTGTGCCTGAGAATTAACCTGACATGAGCGCTAAGATTAATGTGAGAAAGGCTTACACATTTGTATAAATGTTCTGTGATGGTGGAGCTGTCCTAAGGAAAGGAGGGCCCCAAAGAAGTGGCAAAATGTAAACACTTTTCTATCAGGTTAACAAAGAGAAGCAATTGTGGAAAGTAGCTACAATGTGCCTGGAGGCTAGAACAGATACATTATTTTAACAAGGTCTGTTTGTACAGAATTTTCCGGCCTTAGACTCCCCAGGGAAGAATGTTCTTTCTCCTGATACAGGGAGGGCATCTTTCATATGGGCGCTTGTCTCTTGTTTTCAGAAAGAAAAGAGATTAGGGGCCTCCTCAGTGGCACAGTGGGTTGAGCGCAGTGCTGTGAGGCTGTCTGCAGCCCCTGCAGTGCCGGCTCCATTCCTGGGCCGGGCAGGGAGATTCCCACATGGTGCGGCTCGCCTGCTGCTCCCCTCAGCAGTGTATTTCGATCATTCTGCCTGTTCTGCTCCCTGCTCTGTCTCTGGTGAATTCCCTCACCCTACCGCGCCTATGGCCTGTACCCCAGTGCTTGTATAAATAAATAAATCCTTAAAAAAAGAGATTAGAATGGCTCATTAGAACAGTCAGCTGTTTTTCAGTGTTTTTAGCTCAAAATAACTTTGATGCCAAAGAGTCATAGTTTTGGTATGGCAAAGAGAATATGCAAGGGAACATGAGGAAGTTCTTCTAGAAAGTATCATGGACAGGGCAGTGGCAAAGACCACAGTTAAAATGGACCAGGGCCAGATCCTGTAGTCTGGAATACCATGTAAGAATTGGGACTCCATTCAGTGGCTGATGGATTGAAGGGTTCAAAATTAGCTCTGGAGTTTGAATGGCTTCCCTGGCACGTAAAGGATGTTTTGGTGGAAGGAAAGGCCAGTCGCTGCCATAGTCTAGGTGGGACGATCAGGGCGTGAGTGGAAGTCACTGCATGGGGCGGGAAGAGCCAGGACTGGGGTGTTCATTCTTGGCCATGGCCCATGGGGTACATGGGAACACCTGTGGGCCAGGCCCAAGGTCTGCAGACTTTGGCACACTGGGCAGTTGTTCCCCAAATCCTTTGCTTCTCTGACCCTTATGGCCCCTGATGTTCCTTCCAGCCTGATGTTCAATGTGTCTGTGAGAAGAGGCTGAGGCGTGGCAGGGCCACAGCTCCCAAGTTCAGGGCCCAGGAAAGCTGTCTCTTTGAGGGTTGAATCACAGCTCCTCCCACCCAGGGTAGTCACTCCATGCCTCAAAGATGCGACCTGGGAGGAAAGAAGTTCTGTAAGCTGCCAGGTCCTGCCTCTCTGATGTTGGGAGCCCCCAGGCCCAGCCTGAATGGAGAGGGCTAACTGAAGGAAAGGAGGAGGGTTAACTGTTTAAACATCTGGTCAGCCAGGGTTCCATCTCAGCTGTGTGCCAGGCAGTAGTCAGGAGTGGGTAAAAAAGTCTGCTGTTCTTGTTCCCTGTGGGACATGGCTCTATAGACCTTTGCACCCACTCTGGGGTGTTCTCTCTCATTTGTTGATTGGGGGAAGGGCTTTACTAAGAAGGGGAGTGAGGGAGGCCTTGAGGGATGAGCAGGAGTCCACCAGAGGGAAAGGGGGAGGGGCAGTGTAGGCTGAGACAAGGGCAAGAGAACAAGCTGTGTCCTGAGAAGGGTTAGTCTGGGATGTGTGGTCAGTTCCACCCTCCAGTTCACATTTATTAAGAACCCACTATGTGCAGGAATGCGAATATGAATAAGACACGTAGCAAGCAGCCTCGCTGGGGAAGCGGGTACATAACAGATCACTTAAATACAGCGCCCTCGGTGCAGGACACAAGTCTCCACAAGTTCCTATGGGAACGTGAGGGATACAAGGGAAGGGGGTGGCAGGAATGGCTTTGGGGAGAAATGCTACTTAATAGAAGCATGTTTTATTTATTTATTTGTTTGTTTGTTTATACAAGCACTGGGTACAGTCAGAAGCGCGGGAGGGTGAGAGAATTCACCAGAGCCAGAGCAGGGAGCAGAGCAGGCAGAAGGACTGAAGCACACTGCTGAGGGGAGCAGCGGGCGGCAGGAGAGGTCTGCGCGCCATGTGGGACCCTCCTCCGGTGGCCGGGGA